TGTCCTGCAAGCCCCTGATCAAGTCTCATTTCCTTCTGGAATCTTCCCTGATCACCTCAGCCCACAGGGACCTCTGCTGCTCTGAATCCCAGGGAAAAAGTTATGTGGAAAGAGGATTGAGTCCGGGGGCTTGGCGTGGCCTCTACCTTGGTGCTCTTGTCTCCTCGGGTCAGGGAAGATCCGGGAGGATCTGAAAGGATTTGGGGGAGGGGGAAGACAAAGGTAATTGTGTGTTTTAAGGAGGTGGAGAAGGCTCAAGATGAGTCAGAGCTACTATGAAGTGTGAAAGAATGCATGGACAAGAAAGAGTCAGGCTTGGCAGAAACAGAGAGACAGAGCTAGACCGACCTACTGACAACGAGCAAGAGAAGCAGAGTGGTAAAGGCAGAGGGGGAACGAGGGGGTGGTGGAGAGGTAAAGGGAGAGGGAGAGGGAGACGGACCTTAACAAAGGGAAGAGATAGCATGAGAGATCCAGAGGGAGGAAATACTGACAGAAGTGGAAATAAAACAAGACAAGGGCACTCAGGAAGAAAGAGAAAGGGCTGAGAAAACAGAAGTATGGAGAAAGAAATAAGTGTGGACAGAGAGACAGAGACAGAGACAGAGTCAGAGAGACAGAGAAGAACAAAGACAGAGGGACAGACGCACAGAGAGAAAGAGACAGAACAAAACCAGACAAAGAAAGAGGAACTTAGGGAAGTAAGAAGAGAGATAAGAATAAAAAAAGAGGAAAGGAGGAGTAGGGAGGAAGAGGGAGGGGAACCGAGAAAGACAGAAATAAGAAGAGGAATTAGAAAAGAAGTGGGAGGAGAACGAGGAGGAGGAGGAGGAGAGAAGAGAGGGAGAGGCAGATACCAAGGTAGTCTCCGAGGAGACGAGCATCACAGGATCATAGAGCCTCAGGGCTGGGGCGGTGGCATTGGGGGAGTGGGGCTTCCTAAAGAGCCCAATCCCTTCCTGTGACCCTCCCCTCTCTTCCCTTCCCTTCCCTGCCCCCAGCGTCCAGACTGAGCCTCTTTCCCCATCAGGGTGGGGTCCCTCCCCTCCTACTCTCCGCTCCCTCCCTTTCAGTTGGGTACCAGCCAAATTCCCATACTTGAAAGGCTCCTCGCTCCCTGCTGCTGCTGCTGCTCCTCTGCCTCCCTCCCCTCTCCAGGGTCATTGTACCTCCCCCTTCCCCCCAACACACCCAATTCGCACCCTCCCCCTCACCCCACTCCCGGATTCCGTAGAATCGGGGCAGTGGCAGCGCGAAGGAGTCTACAGCGACGCAGTTAGCTCGTAGCCATGGGGCTGGGAGAGAGAGACAAAATCATAGAGACAAGCAGGGAGACACAGTCACAAACACAGGGAGACAAAAAGCCCTAGACCCAGAGTCACGGTGACCCAGACACATACGCACGGAGTCAGAGATGCAGAAACTCAGGGCTATGGCGGAGCAGGGGCGCAGACTCGGAAACAGAGCGGTTCGAGACATAGGGAGGCAGGGAGAAATAGAGAAACCTGAAGGAGACACTTTTTTTTTTCTCTTAAACTGCCAGAAACACTGTTTTGTGAGACAGAGGTCCCAGGTAGAGAGAGGAGCCGAGCCTTGGAGAGGGCTGTCTTGACCAGGGTCCAAGGTCCGTAGTCCAGTCCCAGGCGACCCTGCTGGGAAGCCTTTCCGACCCGGCCACCTCTGGACATCGGGCGGCCCCTGCAAACAGGACAGGTGCGAGGGCGGAGGGCAGACACCTTAACCCTAACCCTAGCTCCTGCCCGAGGCGCCTCACCCTCCTGTTCGGAATGCGACCGGGGGCAGGAGGCAGGGGGCGGTGGGGCGAGCCAGTTATAAGCTGGGGAGGAGGCGAACCCAGAGCCAGAGGTTGAAGGACCGAAGGCCGGTGGGGAGCCTGGCAGAGCTTGGTGGCCGAGAGCCCGCCTCCCCGTCTCCCCTAAGGCCACCTGCAGGTAACTTTGCCAAGGATACGGTGGGGCTGTGTGCTTATCTCTCACTCTCTCTGCCACTGGCCTCGTGGGCTGGCTCCGTGCGCCTCTCTCTGGCATCTCATCTCCTTCTCCTTCTCCACATGCCTCTCAGGTTCTTCTGCAAACTCTTCATGCCTCTGCACCTTATTTATCTATCTCTACCACTCCATTTGGCTGTTCTGTTTGTGGGTTCTGGTCTGGGCGTATGGGTATCTGTCATTCTCTCTGACTGTGTGAGCCTCTCTTACTCTCTCTGGTTCTCTCTTTGTCCTGTTTCTGGTCTCCATCTCTGTTATCTCTCCTCTGGCTTTCTCTGCTTCCCCACCCCAGTCTCTCTTGGGGTGTCTGCAGCCATCTCTTGTCTGTCCTCTAGCTTTCACTGTGACTTCCCACCCCAGTCTCTCTTGGGGTGCCTGCAGACTCTCTCTTGGGGTGTCTGCAGCCATCTCTTGTCTGTCCTCTAGCTATGCTGTGACTTCCCACCCCAGTCTCTCTTGGGGTGTCTGCAGCCATCTCTGTCCTCTGGCTATCTCTGTGACTCCCCATCTTTCTCTTTGCATCTCTGTGGCCATTTTTGGCTATCACTCTCCTGGCTTTCTCTGTGACTCCCTATCCCAGTCTCTCTTTGGGTCTCTGCCCTCGTTTCTTTATCTCTTCCCTGGCCATCTGTTATTTCTCATCTTTGTCTCTCTTTGGATCTTGGTGGCTTTTTTTATTAACCTATATTTGTGCCTCCTCACCTCAGTCTCATTTTGGGCCTCTCCTCAATGACTGAAGCCCAGACCTCCTTTCTGAAACTCTCTATCCCCTGCATGTCTGCCCAGAGAGGGGTGGGGGAGGGCATGAAAAAGAGTGTAGACAAAGGGCTAGGTTAGGGCTTAGGGCTTAGGGTCCAGAATCAGAATTTGGCCATTCAAATTCTGGCTTTGCCAATTGCTACCCATGTGACCTCAGTCAAGTCACTTAATGGTCCTGGGACTCAGTTTCCGTGTCTACCAAATGAGGGTATTGGACTAGGTGATCTCTAAGGTTCTTTCCAATTCCAGATCTATGACCCCATGAAAATAGTAGTTGGCTTTGAATCTGTGTCCATCACTTATTTTTTGTAAATGTGATCTTGGCTAGCACATCATCTAAGCCTCAGTTTCCTCATCTTTAAAATGGGTGCAGCAATACTAACCTGTACCCTCTGCCTCCTTGGACAGTCAAAAATACTAGAGAAATGTGAGTTATCATCAGGACAGGGCCTCAGAGGCTGACCCCCTCTCCTTCCTCCTATCCCCAACTCCCAGGTGCAGTAATGATGCCTCCAGTAAATTCCCCTTGGGCCTGGATGCTGGCATTCCTGATGTCGGTTCTGACCATGGGAGACCCAGGCCTGACAGGTAGGGTGTGTGAGCCTGGAATTGTGTGAATATATGTCTGCATATAGAGGATGGAGTGGAGAGAGTGTGGATATGCAGGACACAGAGAGGGATGAGAGAGGGGGGGAGAGAGACTGAGAGACAGTGAGAAAGAGACGAGGAAAAGAAAAAGAAGGAGGAGAAGAGAGGAGGGAAGAGTTGGTTGGAAAGAAGGACCCGGGAAGGGTCTTGTGGATGGAAAACCAAGAGGGTTCAGAGTCTCTGAAGAAAAAGGAAGGAAAAGGTGGGCAGCTGTGTCAGCAGCTTCAGAGGAATCAGAGGAAACGAGGATGGAATGGATCAGTTCAGTAAACCTGACAGTGAAGGTAGCCTTGGCCACCTTGAAAAAAGCCATTTCAGTAAGAGCAGCAGTGATGGCAAAGAGGAGCCAGATTAAAATGCTTTGGGTGAGCACCGTGGTTTTCAAGGAAGTTGGCAGTGAAGGGGAGAAGTGACCTGGAACAGGTGAGGGGGATCTGGGGAAAGAAGGTAGAAGCTCATCATTTAGAGTAGTAACTCAATGGACCAGCTGCCCAAGAGCTCTTTCCTGCCCCCTCTAAACCAGCCACACCCTACCCCATCCTAAATCCTATACCCCAAGGCACATTTGTTGAGCCTGGGCCCCACCCCAAGCTCTGGCCCTAACTCCCCCTAACATGAATCCTCATCCCACCCCCAGGCCAGAAGAATGGAGCTTGCCTGGGGAACCAGGCCTGCCAGGAGTATAGGAACCACGAGCAAGCTGGGAGCCGCCATCAGGTAGAGAGCCGCCAGGATGGTAATAATCAAGATACTGAGAATCGCATCTTAAATGGCAAAGACTGTGAGCCTCGAACCCAACCCTGGCAGGCAGCTTTGTTTCTGAAGCCAGAGAGCCTCTTTTGTGGGGCAGTGCTGGTCCATCCCCAGTGGGTGCTCACTGCCGCACATTGCCAGAAACCGTAAGTGAAGAGGGAGAGAGGAGAGATGGGGATGAGGAGGGGAGGAACTGGAATAAGGATGGGGAGGGAGAGTGAAAGGAGGGAGAGAGGAGAGATGAGGATGAGGAGGGGGAGGGGAGAGGAAGGAGAGACTGGGGATGGGGATGGGGATGAGGAAGGGAGGAACTGGAATAAGAATGGGGAGAGAGAGTGAAGGGAGGGACAGAAGAGAGATGAGGATGAGGAGGGGGAGGGAAGAGGAAAGAGAGCGGAGAGATGGAGATGAGGTAGGAAGTGAGAGGGAAGGGAGAGGAGATGGGGATAAAGGGTAACAGAGTAGTGACCTGGAGTCAGCAAAACTTGGGTTCAAAATCTGTCTCTGACACCTGATAATAACTCAAAGGTATTATGGATTAGTGGACAGAGTGCTGGCTTTAGAGGCCTGAAGAGCTGGGTTCAAATCCTGCCCCAGACACTTAATAGCTGCATGACTTTGGCCAAGTCCTTTCTGTCCTCTGACTGTCCTTGCCCTCACCTGTAAACGCCCACATGCCAGAGTTGTGAGTCTGAGATGAGATATTGTTTGTAAAGTGCTAGGCTGGAGGGCTCTGTTATCACATCATTAGCATCATTATCACTGGAGGTGGAAAGACTCCAGTGCAAATCTGATGGCAGGCACTAAACATGTGACCCTGAGAAAGTCACCTCCCTTCTGAAGGTTTCAATTTCCGCAACTCTCAAATGGGAATAATACGATAACCAAAACTTGCCGGGGTTGAGAAAATCAAATGCGATAATATTGGTAAAACATCTGGTAGCAGGTACTATACAAGTGTTTATTCCCTTTCCTTCCTCTTTCCTCCTCATTTGAACCTCACAATCTTGGGAAGTGGGCATTCAGATATTGTCAATCTCATTTTCCATTTGGGTAAACTGGGTAAACTGAGGATCATAAAGATTATGACTTGCCATTCATTATGTAGCAGGTGTGGAAGCAAAATATCAGAGTTTCGAATTTCACAGTATATGTTTGAGGTGGGATTTGAACCCAGTTCTTTCAGACTCCAAGGTCACTAGGTGCTCTGTCCCTCAAATCTGTGCCAATTTTCCAGCTGTCTCTGGGACATCTCCACCTGGACAGATCACAGGTGCCCTGTAGGGAGTTCAGCACCTTCCTTCTAGATACATGGAGACAGAACTCCAATGCTAAGTTATATGTAATCCCATGGGCCTCTAGAGGACTGGCAGTGAGGATGGGACTGTGGGGAGGGTGAAAGAGTGACCTGTCCACCATCTTCTCCAGTCCTACGTTGTTATGCTGGGCCGGTATCGTCTCCATGGTTATGAGGCAGACCAGAAGATTCTCCTTGGTATCCAGTCTTTCCCTCACCCCAACTATACCCGGCCAGCTCACTCTAATGATCTCATGCTAATTAAATTAAACCGAAAGGTCCTAGACACAAAAGGCATCAAACCCATCAACATCACAACTCAGGCCCCAATCACTGGGGCCCAGTGCCTCGTTTCAGGCTGGGGGACCACTAGCAGCCCTCACGGTAAGTCCTGGGCCCTTTCTGTTTCTGTCTTCCTTTTCTCAGTCTGGTCTTTGTCCATCTCCATGTCTGTTTCCAGCTATCTGGAAAGAGTGTTGAATTTGAAGTCATAGGATCTTACTTCAAAATCTTCCTCTGCTACTAACTCCCTGCATGTTCTTTGGCAGGAACCTTAACCCCCTTGGGCCTGTTTCCTCATCTTGCCCATCCTCCCCTACAAAAAGAAGGTCTTGGTTGGACTTGATCTTGGCCCCTAGAATCCCTCCCAGCTCTATGAGCTATGAACTTGACGGTGTGGTCATCCCAGACAGAGTCTCTGACCCCACCACTTGGCTTTCCAGTCCACTATCCCCAGGTCCTACAGTGTCTTGACATCATGATCCTGTCTCAGGAGGTCTGCCAGAAGGCCTATCCTGGGGAGATCAACTCTAGCATGTTCTGTGCTGGAGATGAAGACGGCAAGGACTCTTGCCAGGTAAGCCTTGAAAGCCTCACCCAACCTGAGAAATAAGGGACGGAAGGGGAGGAAGGAAGACAGAGGAAAAGACTCAAAGGTGGTGGAATGGAGGCAAAGAGTGTAGCAAGAAGGGAGAGCCAGTGAGGGAGGGAAAGACCAAAAGGAGATGGTGCAGGGAAGGGGAGGGATTGAGATGGGTGCTCCTAAGGCATCTCTCCATCTGTTATTTGTCTCTTTCTGTCCTCACCTCTCATGATTTCTCTCTGTCTCTGGCTCCCTTTCTCTCTCTGTCTCTATCTCCCTCTGTTTGTTGCTGTCTCCAACTCTCTTCATCTCTGTTTATCCCCATCTGTCTCTCCCTTCTCTCTTTTCCTTGTTCTTTCTTCCCAGGGTGACTCAGGGGGCCCTGTGGTCTGCAATGGAATGCTTCAGGGCCTGGTATCCTGGGGGGATGTTCCCTGTGGAAAGCCCCACAGGCCTGGAGTCTACACCAACCTCTACCCATTCAACAAATGGATCAAAGACACCATCAAAAACAACTGATTTAAGGGGACACTGGCACGTAGGTCCCTAGTCTACGTCCTCTTCAGAGACCTGGGAGCCCAGGCCCCTCAATTTTCCAACCCTTATTCCCTATCCTCTCAGGGATCTGGGCAGCCCCATCTCTATATAGCTCAGGGACACCACTATCTAGACCCTCAACACTTGTCTCCTCAGGACCCAGGGATCTGGCCTCTACAGGGACCCAAGCATTTGTATATCCTTCCCCAGCTTTTAGTCCATTCAGAGATTGAGACTAAGGAATTTCTTGACCTTTGCCTTTATCTCTGGGAGAACAGGAAGTTCTCCTGTGGGACTCCACTTGGAAAGGGGGAGCCAGTACAGGGGTAGGAGAATTTGTGTCTCCATTGAGGCCTAAGGGACATTCTCCTTCTTGTCTGGTTTCCTAGTTTACCCTCCTCTTTTCTACCTCCCCTCCCGGCCTCTCCCCATGAGCCCTCTATCCGGTTAGAGTCCTCTTAGCTTTTCCCCATCTCCTCTCCATCCCCTGAGCCTCCAGTCCCTCCCTGAATTCCACTTTCCCTGTTTGTCTGCCAGACCATCTCAGCCCTTTCTCCCCACTCCCCTACCTGAGCGCCTACAGCACTTTCCCCAAATCCCTCTTCCTCTCTGAGCCTCCTCCCTCTGTGGGTCCTCTAGCCCATCATTCCTTTGTCCATCCTCGAGCTCTCCAACCTGGGCTTGGGTCTCCACTGATCTCTCTGCTTGCCATGTGGAATAACAGGTAGAGCTCTGGCTTTGGAATCAAGGAGTCCTGGGTTCAAACTCCAAGTCACTTAACCTCTGTACCTCAGTTTCCCCTTCTGTAAAATAAGGCTAATAACAGTACTGCTGCATCACAGTATTGCTGTCAAGCTCAAATGAGATAATGGACATAAAACATCCTGCAAACTTTAAAGTTACATGAGTCTGAGCTATTTATATTATTCCCAGGAAAGGCCTGTAGGCTCTCCCTCCCTTCCCCCTCCTACCTCCCTCTCCCTAGAGGGGTTGATGAAGAAGTCACTTTGATTTAGTGGGAAGAGTCACAGAAGGGGTTTTGTTTAATTCACTTCTTGTGTAACTTTGGTAAGGGCTGAGAGACATGGTGGTAGCATGGATCATTTGTTCTGGAGACTGAGGACCCAGTCAGTTGCCACCTCCACCACTTAATACCAGTGTGACCTTGGTCCCTTCAACTCCCTGATGCCTCAATTTCCTCTTCTGCAAATGCACTATTGAGCTTAACAGACTCTGAGGGGCTTCCAGCTCCCTACTTACAGTACTGACATTCATGTGGATGAGGAAGGTGCTGACCACTTGGATCGTTGCATGACCACGTTCAACCTCTTCCCTTGTTGTCACTGATCTCTGCCTTGGCCAGAGGAGGAGTGAGGGGTACTCCTTGGCAGAGATGCTCACTTCCTAGGAAATGGGTTGAGAACAGACTCCACGACTTGGGAGGCCCAGCACATGGAAGGACTTCTGGGATCAGTCGCTGGGGCTGATGAGACTTCCTTTCATCTAGGAATGAAGAGGATTTATCCTAGGATAGCTAAGGCTTTCTTCTAAGGGACCAGGGAAGACCAATGGAGATTTGTACTGGAGACAATAAATATTTCACCTGGGGGCTATACAGTCCATGAATGGACCAACCACTGGCAACCACTGATACCAAGGAGGCTTCCCCTGTGACAGATGAGGGTTTCCATTCCACTTGAGATGGATAAAGATTCCTTTGGCATTGATGAGGCTTTGTTCAGGGGCACACAAGGATTCTTTCTTCCACTCAGTGTGAATGAGGGTCCTCCGGGACAAATGGGAACCACTGACACAAGTGAGGCTTCCCCTGGGACAGGCAAGGCAATCCCATCTGGTTTTGATGGGGCTGCTTCTTAGGACCCATGAGGACTCATTCTGGGGTAACAGTTCCTCTTTGGACGGAGTTGTCCATCTCCCTTGTATGAAAGGGCATTGTTCTGGAATGGATTTAGTCTTCATTCAGGGAATGAGTCCCCAGTTATTATGGCCCCTCCTGTCCAGTTCTGAGACCAGTGAAAGCTTATCTAGGACAACGAAATTTAACTTTTCAATCTAATAAATATTTCTTAAGCACCTCATATGTGCAAAGTCCTGCACAATGTGCAGAAGAAAAAAAAAAGGTGAAAATGTCTTAGCCTCTGCCCTTAAGAAGCTTATAATCTCACAGAGGAATATGACCAGTCGCAAATGATTATGCTCCAATGTGGCAATGTTCTAAGAGCAGGAAGAGATCCGGACAAAGCTCTGGAAAAAATTGGGGGCAGGAGAGAACAACTGTGAAATAAAGCTCCTTGGACTAGGTGGTCTCTGAGTCAGGTTTTGAAGGAAGGAAGGGACATTGATGAATAGGAATAGGGAGAAGTGGAGAGAACTTGACATTATAGCTTGGGCATGCAGGTGATAAAACATGGAAACAGGAAAGGAGGGGAAGATTGGAATGGCAATGGAGAGTAGTCCAATATATCTAGAATAGCATTCTGGGGTTTGGAGTTTTTGGGGTTTTTTTTGTTTTTCTTTTTTGGCTGTGGACTGTTTTGGCCTCCTGGTGGAGCCTATGGTCCTTTCTTTTCTTTTCTTTTTAAAATTAATTATATTATTTTATTTGTTAAAAAAAAATAAAAGAAAAGAAAAGAAAGAAAAGAGAAAAAAGCCAATTGCATTTAAATTGCCAAACACAGCTAGCAATACCAGTCTAGCAGTTTGAAAATAGTTCCCAGAATCACAAAACTGTACAATATCAGATTTGGAAGGGACCTCAGAGGTTATCTAGCTTGGTATGTGCTCAAATACACAAAGGGATCTGTGATCTCATCAATGAGGGCATTCCCTCCAATGATTCAAATGGCAAACCATTCATTCTTCATCATCCTATATGTCTCTTGTTTACGTCCTCCCATCAGTTAGTTATAGAAGTAAACTTGATGTCATGGGGGGGCTCTATTTTCCTCACTTTCTTTTAAAATTTTTTTAGTCAATTAATTATTTAATTAAATAATTTTTAGTTTTCAACATTCTCTTCCATAAAATTTTGAGTTATAAATTTTCTTCCCATCTCTCTCCTCCCCTCACCCCCAAGAAAGCATGCATTCTGATCACCCCTTCCCCCAGTCTGCCCTCCCTTCTATCCCCTTCCCCTTCTATTTAACTGTAGGGCAGGATAGATTTCTATATCCCCTTGCCTGTGTATCTTATTTCCCAGTTGCATGTAAAAACAATTTTTAACAATTATTTTTAAAACTTTGAGTTCCAAATTCTCTCCCTCCTTCCCTCTTCACCCACTCTCATTGAGAAGGCAAGCAATTGCAGGTTATACATGTGTAATCATGTAAAACACTTCCATAATAGTGATGTTGTGAAAGACTAATTATATTTCCCTCCATCTTATCCTGCCCCCCATTTATTTTATTCTCTCCTTTAATCCTGTCCCTGCTCAAAAGAATTTGCCTCTGATTACCCCCTACCCCAATCTGCCCTCCATTCTATGAACCCCTCTTGTCCCCTCCCCCCTTCTTTCCTGTAGGGTAAGATAGATTTCCATACCCAATTGAGTGTGAGTATTATTTCCTCCTTAAGCCAAATTCGATGAGATTCATGCATTCTCCCTCACCTCCCCCCCTTCCCATCCATCGTAAAAGCTTTTTCTTGCCTCTTTTATGTGAGATAATTTACCGCTTTCTACCTCTCCCTTTCTCCTTCTCTCAGTACATTGCTCTCTCACCACTTAATTTCAGTTTTTTAGATATCATCCTTTCATATTCAACTCATTCTGTGCCCTATGTCTATATATATTTCCTCTAATTACCCTATAATAATGAGAAAGGTTATTATCTTTCCATGAAGGAATGTAAACAGTTCAACTTTAATAAGTCCCCTATGATTTCTATGGTCCTTTCTTTGGATAACTCTTTTAAGTATATGAAATAAAACTTTCAGGATTCCAGAGAATCCTAATTAGATTGACTACAGTTAAGTTCATGAATACTGACTGAAGAATCTCTGTCCTCATGACAGCAATTGGAATGGAATAAGGCCACACCTACATGGAGGCTGCAGCCACATTGTGGAATCGGAATCTTGGAATCAAGATTTTCATTTTGTTTGGTAGGCAATGGAGAGCCAGTGACAGTTTGTGAATAGAATGACAAGGTCACACATAGTAAGAAGGTTAAGGATCCTGGCAGCAATGTGGACTGGATAGGAGAGAGACTAATCAGGAGACAACTGTAATAGGTGGTGGGCTTGATCCATCCATGGCTACTTTGAGAGTGGCGAATGGGAGATGAATGCTTGGTGAGTTAGAGAGGGGGAAGTTGTGAAGAGGTGGGGTCAGACGAAGATTCCTGGAACAACAGGGGCCTCCCTGGGACTGAGCAAGGTAATCACTGGGTCTACTGAGGCACTATTCCCCTGACTAAGGCAGAAACCTCTCTCTGTGCCCCCTCCTCTGTGGTTTCTTCAGCAAACATTGTCAATCATCATTTGTTAACTTCCTACTATGGGTAAAGCCCTGGGCTGGGAGCTAGGGATAAAAATGATGAGAGCCAAAATAGTCCCTGCTCTCAAGGAGCTGACAATCTAATGGAGGAGATGTCATGGATATAAATAGGGTTAGGACTGGATGGCCCCGTGCTTTCACTGGCACTGAGAAATCCCAGGTGAGGAAACATCTTCTGTCAATGCAATTTGGTGCCTTCTCAGTAACTTATAGACTTTGAGTTACCTAGAGTACTGAGAGGGTGAGTCCATGGTTGCACGGTCAGTCTTTGTGAGTGGTAGAACTTGAACCCAGATTGTCCTGCTCCAAGACCAGCTATGTGTCCTTTACACCAGGGCACTTCTGGGGAATGTGAATAAAGGATAATGCTATGTCAGTGAGTTGGGTGCTGGCAAAGGGGAGATCCCAAGTTTCTCTGAAAAAATTTGTGGAGAGAGAGAACCCATTCAGCTGGCAGAAGGCTGAGGAGAGTGACTGAAGGCTTCAAGGAGAGGGTCTGGGTTGTCTTCAATCAATAGATCCATCAGCAAGCATTTATTAATCACCTATTGTGTACAAGGTACTATGCTAAGCCCTAGAGGTACAAAGGAAAAAAAATTTTCCTTTCCTCAAGGATCTTGCCCTCTATCAGGAAAGACAATCTACACATGTACAAGCATGCATAATGCCTATGTTTGGGGATGTGAAGGCATTAGAAGCTGTGTGAGTAGAAATGGTCTTACACAGGATATGGGGCTTGAACTGAGCTTTGAAGGACAGTAGGGATTCTAAGAACTGGAAGTGAGGAGGGAGGGTATTCCAGGCATGGGTGACAGCCTAGGCAAAGGTGTGGAGACTGGAGATAGATGACTGTGTAAGAGGACCAGCAGGCAGGACACTTTGGCTAGAGTTTGTTGAGTTCTTGAAGTAATATGTAATAAGCCTGGAAGAGTCATCTGGGGCCAGATTGTAAAGGGTTTTACATACCAAACTGAGTCATTTGGATTTGTCCTAGAGGCAAGAAGGAGACACTGGACCTTCTATATAAAGGAGGGACATGACTAGAGCTTATGTCTTAGGACTGGATCTTTGGCATCTGTGGGGAGGATGGATTGGAGTGGAGAAAGACCCTGGAGGCAGGGAGGCCAAATACACTAGAAGGCTGTTGATTTTCAGTCACTTCTGAAATGCAGATTAGACATAAACCTGATACCAGGACATAAAGGGCTTTTCCCATTGTATCTTAAATATTATTTCAAATGCAAATATCTGATATATTGTATCTGAAATATTAAAGACAGAGAAGACCTGAAAACACAGAAGTATTTTTTTTCACATTAGTCATGTTGTAAGGAAGGATTAGAACCAATAGGAGGAACCACAAGAAAGAGGAAACAAAACAAAACAGAAGAAAAAAAAGAGCAATTCAAATGTTTTGATCTGCATTCAAACTCCATAGCTCTTTCTCTGAACATGGATAGCATTTTCCATCATGAGACTTTTGGAGATGTCTTATATCCTTGCATTTCTGAGAAGGGCTAAGTCAATCAAACTTAGTCATCACACAGTGTGGCTATTACTGTGTGCAGCATTCTCCTGGTTCCACTCACTTCATTCAGCATCAGTCCATAAAAGTCTTTCCAGGTTTTTCTGAAGTCCATCTGCCATAATTTCTTATAGCACAATAGTATTCCATTACATTTATATACCATAACTTGTTCAGCCATTCCCCAGTTGATGGGCATCCCATCAATTTCCAATTCTTTGCCACCACAGAAAGAGCTGCTATAAATATTTTTATACCCATAGGTCCTTTTCCAATTTTTACAATCTCTTTGGGATAGAAGTGCTATTTCTGGGTCAAAGGCTATGCACATTTTTATAGCCCTTTGGGCATAGTTCCAAATTGCGCTCCAGAATGGTTGGATCATTTCACAACTCCACCAATAATGCATTAGTGTTCCAATTTTCCCACATCTTCTCCATCATTTATCATTTTCCTGTTTTGTCATGTTGGCCAATCTGATAGGTGTGATGTGGTACCTCAGAGTTGTTTTGATTTGCATTTCTCTAATCAATAGTGATAAGAGCATTTAAAACACAGAAATATTAAAGAACTACCATTTTTAACAAAAATCAAAATATATTTCACATTAATTGTACTTATTGTACATACACATTTTTACTTCGAGGCCATTCTCAAAGAAGAACTATGCATGTGCTAATGCCAATAATTACTATTGTTATTATTATAGGACTCAATCATTCCAATTTTCCCAACACCAGTTTTTGTATGGCAGTCCTTTTGGGGAAGGAAGTAAAGATTCTGAAAGAGAGAGGAGGGAATAAAGACAAGAGAGAAGGACATGAAAGAATCAGAGTTCAAACCCAGATGCTCTGAGCTCTTTCCATTGCTCCATGGCCTATGGGTTTCAGGTTCAAAAGAAGTTATCACCTTCCCTTGAGTACTGGGCTCACTCTACCTGAGGCATTGTGTCTGGTGAACCACATTTTAGGAAGGTTGTTATCAAATGGTTTCATTGGGTATAGTCTGCCTAATCCGAGGGGCATTGTGAGGAAGGTGATGGATTTAGAGTCAGGAAAACCTGGTTTGGCTCTCACCTCCAAAATATCACAGAACCACTAGATTTTAGAGCAGTTGGCTATGGGAGCCTGTGTAAACTCTCTGAGCCTCAGTTTACCTCATTTTTTCCTCATTTACAGAAAGGGACATAATATGTATGTGAAATATAACACAAAATGCGTATAAAAATATACAGGGTGATATGGGTTGAAGGTTGATTTTAGTAAGAAAAACCTGGGTTCAAGTCCCTTCCCTAATTAAAACTTTAACACTAAGCTATGTAATGATGGACAAATCATTTAACTTCTCACTGTTCTTGGGTAAGTCTTTAAGACTGTAAGTTGGAAACACATAATTGATTGCATTTGTGGAGGGACTTTCCACACCAGGTGTTCCTTACACCTATGACATTACAGAGCCAGACCAAACAAAATGAAACAAAGTAGAAACAAAAAGTCTACCTCATAGGATATTATAAGGATGAGATGAGGTAATGTACTTGTAAGGTTTTGAAAATCTTACAGAAATCAATAAGCGTTATTTTTAACCATCTACACTTCAAAAACAAAGTGGATGAAAAATTATGTGGCAGAAAAGACAATGACATGCAGTTGGACAGGTGGGCATTGAGTCAATCCATTTGTATGTATACAGATGATGTAACATGAGTTGTGGAGATTATGAGAAGAAATTACCTCCAGACTTCCAGTCCTGTAAGACTCATTGCTGAGGTGCTTTGCTATAGATGTTCCCTAATTAGCTGCAGAGCCAGAGGAGCTGAGGACTGAGTGAATATACAAAAGCAAGTTACCAACAAGTCTGCATCTCTCTTCCTTTATGGTTCAAAGATCAAGATAACCCAAATCTCTGTCAGGACTGCAAGGGAGTAGTTATCCTTCTGAATTGAAAATCCTAGAATTCCAAGGAATTCTCAACCCCCTCTCACATGGACAGTGTGTTAAACATAGAGGTGAAGAGGAGGAAGAGAGCAGTCTAGACAGTGCAAAGGCCATAGATGTAGCTTTTGAAGATTCAGGGTTTCTCTCACGGCACCTGCAGGCAATACACTGCCAGGTGAAAGCCAGGGCATGCTACTATCTTCAAAGAATGGGAAATAAGTATAAGCCAGAGGGCCATGGAGAGGTCTATAGTGGCTATGAGTTGGCAGCATATTACATACAAGGAGTCACTGAGAAGTAGGGGCAGGGAGGGGAAGGAATATTCCAACAAAAAATTCACTAAAGAACAAATATCTGGGTTGGTCAGGTTGGGAGAATGAGGGGTAACCAATGGATAGGTCGTGTGAATCATTGGTATACTCATGATATCAAGAGGAAATGAGGAAAGCCTTTAATGATATGGTTGGATTCTCTGTGGCAAAGTTATAGGGTCATAAATTGAGAGCTTGAGGGACTTTAGAGGTCATGAAATCCAATATCCTCATTTTACAGATGAGGAAACTGAGGCAAAAAGAGGTGAAGTGACATGTCCACAGGAAGTGTCTGAGGTGGGATTTGAACCTAGTTCTTCCAGACTCCAAGTCTAACATCTTATTTACTGCACCACATTATAGACAAGAGTTGGATAGGATGATCAGGCATGAGTGGGTTGTGATCGGTATTATTGGAGGGAATATCCTCATTTGTGAGATCTCAGATCCATTGGCATATTTCAGTAATCTCTTGGTGATACTATATGCCTGGGACTCACATCCCACTAGGATCTCAGAAGGACCACAATTTCAGTTTACACAGAGGGCAATAGAAACATGGCAGGTGTAAACAGGCTCAAGGCATATTATCACCAATGACTTTCATGTGAGAAGTGTAATAAAAGTTTAATAAAAGCCAGGGACAGGTATGACCTGAACACCAACTGGGTCTGCCATGTAGTGAGTGAAAGTGAAGGATAAGTAATGGACAGGTTACATGTGACACAATCCAAGAATCAGAGGAAGGTCTAGGGGCACTGGGTGAGCCTTCCATGAAGAAATCATGGAAAGGTGTGGACAAGAAAGAATCCCGTAGATTGGCAAGAAGGAGCGAGCTGCCCCGGTGCAATGAGGGCCCTGGATGATGAGGTGACTCACTCTGCCCCTAATCCCAACCGTAAGTCTGACTCCAAACCTAACACCAGTGATCAAAACATTGACCTGGAAGAAGATAGTAAGAATGGGGAGGGGACTGGAAAACAGGTCATTTTGGGGACCTGATGGTCATCCTCTAGCACATGAAGATTTCGTTAGGTAGAAAAAGATTAGTCCTGTCCAAATGACTCCATGATCTAATGACTGGTCATCCCACATCCTCTCATCCTATCCCTCCTCAGTGATGTTCCATGGCTTCCTTCAAGGCGTAGCTCCAATCCTGCCCCTCATCTGCTAATGCATTCCTCTCTAGGGTTACCTTCCATCTCTTCTGAATTTCTTAGGTATAGACCCAGTTATTTCCATGTAGTCTTCCTCTTTAAAATGTAGCCCTGGACAACAGGGGATGTTTTTACCTTTTTCTTTGTATCCTCAGTGCTCAGCACAGTGCCTGGTGCATTTTTGTTCAGTCATGTTTGACTCTTTGTGACTTTACGGACCCATAGCACACCAGACCCTTCTGTCTATCCCTCAAAGTCTGTCCAAGCTCATGTGTGTCGTTTCCATGACATTATCTATGCATCTCATCACCTTATTGCAAAATTCAGACTTAAATTGAAGAAAGGAGGGAAGAACCATCATACCCGGACCATAATAAGCACCTAATACATTCTTCTTGATTTACTCATTGATTGATTGGCCATTCTTGGTTCAGGTCCATAGAAGTGTTGCCCTTTGGTCCTGTCCTCATGAACTAGGAGCAATGTGGGGGGGGAGCAGGGGGCAAGGGGAGATCTATGGGGAGGTGGAGTTTGATGTAGGCTGAATTCTGGAGGGGCCATAATTGGAGGCTGGATAATCAAATGTTGGAGATTCTACATGGAGCCTTGAATGGACTCCCTGGATGAATGCCCTCGGGAGCCCCTGCTCATTCTTTTTTCCAGTTGGTCCTGTCTATGTCTTGTTTGTACATTGTTGTTTGCGTGTTGTTTTCCTCATTAGACTGTGAGCTCCTTGAGGGCAGGGACTGTCTTTGCTTTTGGATCCCCATTGCTTAGCAAAAGCACGTAGTATGGCTTAATTTTTTTTTCCTGATTAACTTTCTCACAATTAGAGGTGCCCCCAAATAGAGTGAGCTGCCTTGTTAGATGAGGAGCTCCTATCCATGGACGTGTTCCACAGGAGGCTGGCTGGGCTGGCTACCTCTTGGGGATGGAAAGAAGGCTCCTCTTGGGGTGTGGGTTGAAAGAGATGTTGTGACTTCTGGGGAGTTCTGGTTCTGGGTGTGTGACTCACTGACCTTGAGTTCTAAGCTCTGGCCCCATGGCCTCATCCTTGCTCCGGGCTGTGGGGTGGACTGGAGTGGCCGGTGGTAGAAAAATCTCCTAACTGGGGACGCGGAACAAAAGCACCAGCCTCATAAACGCTCATTATGGCCTGCCCACCCTGCCCCTATCCTGCTGAGGCGTCACCACCCATAAACTGGGCCCTTACCATTGTCTTCCTACCCACCCCTCTAAATCTGGGTGGGGCTCAGGAACTTATAAAGTTGGGCATCCCAGGACCTGCCTCCCCCTTCCTGAACAGACAGAGCCCAAGCCTGAGCCACCTGCCCCAGACTGCTCACGCCCTCAGATCAGGTGAGGCCCAGAAAGCAGAGGGGCAGAATCTAAGGAAAGAGTGGGGAGAAGTCACCAAGGGAGTCCAGTGAAGGGGACACTCTCGGTGTCCAGGCCTTGATCCAAAGAAAGGAGGGCAGACAGTTCTGAGAGGGATGGATTAATTCTTGGAGGGACTCCTGGAAAAGGGGAGCTGGAGACCCTGGTGGTTAACAGAGAAGAGCCTTGGCTTGAAAGAGAAGAAGGAAAGGTAGAGGGTGTCTGTGCTGTGGATTTTGGCCATTGAGACACTTGTCTTCCAGACTTAGAAGGAATGAGGCTTTGAGGGGCAATGTGGTTCAGTGAAGAAAGCCTCCAATGTGGAGCCTAAAACTTGGGTCAGGCCCTTCCCACCTCTAGGCCTCAGTTTCCTCCTCTGTTGAAAGAGGGTCTTGGAATGGATGATTTCCAAGGGCTCTTCCAGCTCCAATGTTCTGTGATTCCAATAGCAATGACATCTCTGGAGCTGAAAACAGGTGGCTTGAGACTAGGGAGGGAAGGGGATGACCTGAGTGCTGGAGAAGATTGTGGGAGGGGTGGGAAGGCACAGGGAGTAGGGAGAAGAGGAAGGGCCCATCCCTCTTCTCTCCACTCCCCAGCATTCCATTTCTCATTCCTCACACAGAGTCAAGGTCAAGGGCCTCATCCAAGGCCCTGACCCACCATGCATCGCCTCCTCACCTTTTTCTGCCTCCTGACAGTCACAGGTGAGAAGAGGGCCTGGATTGTGTTTGTGGCTGAGTCTGTGACCTTGAGCCACACCCTCAGATGTGTACAAGTGTGATGTGTATGTGTGGCTGTGGCTGTGGCTGTCACTGTAGGTCCAGTTCCATGACTTTGTCACTTATTGAGTCTATAATTAGGCACAGCCAGTTACAACTATGTTTGTGACCTTGTATGTCTGAGTGTGTGGCCATGTCTTTGTCTGCGACCTAACATGTTCATAGGATCATGGGAGAGACAGAGATGATAGACAGACATTTATAGATAGATAGATAGATAGATAGATAGATAGATAGATAGATAGATAGATGGAAGAATTGATGAGAAAGATAAATAAATGATAGTTTTGGAGAGATGGATGGATGGATAGAGAGATAGATAGATAACTTATTGAGTACCTACTCTGTGCCAGGAACTATGAATACAAAGAAAGTGAAACCAGTCTGTGTCCCAGAAGAGCTTAAATACTAGTTGGGGAAGACCACACATAAAGGAGAGCTTGGAAGGGTTGGGGGAGTGTGGTGGCGGCCTGGGCCCCTGCATAGTAAGGCCATCAGATCCCCTTCATAGCCAAGGGGCCCAGGGGTGGAGTCCAAGCTTCCTGTGGGGAGGAGGTAGAGGTGATAATCTGAGTAGAAAAGGTAGGACCTGGAGCTGGCCAGGAAGTCGTAAGAGACCTCAATTTAGTGTTTTGAGGGATCCACCCTGTCCAACCTGCTCATTATTTAGATGAGGAAAAGAAAGCCCAGAGTTGAAGTGACTTGCCTGGGGTCACCCAGGTGATAAGAAGTAGAGCTGGGAGTTAAACTCAGGACCTTGACTCCAAATTCAAGCCTCTTCCCAACCACTCCACTCTGCCTCTTATCCGTTCATGCCCACAGTCATGTATGTGTCTACGTCTGTGATTTTGGCATAACCGCATCGGCCGTCTGGTTTCTACGAGCTTGTGGGTCTGTATCTGTGATTCTGTGTGTTCCTTTCAGCCTGTGTCCAGCCCTCTGTGTTCCTACTTGCTGCTTATGCTTCTGGTATGTGTAAATGGCTCATCTGGATGACATTTGAAGACCTCTGGTGACAGGCAGCTCACCACACAGGGAGGCAGTTTGCTCCATTGGTGGACACCTTTGATTGTTAGGAAGTTTTTCCTCACATGCACCTGAAATCTGCCTCTCTGCAGCCTGCCCCTCTCTCCCCCTAGCTCCAGTTCACCCCATCTGGGGCAAAGCAAAACAAGAGTAACCCCTCTACCAAGGAAGTCCCTTTAGAGACTTGAAGACATTACCCGGCACTCTGTGCCTCCCTCCCGCTCTTATTCTCTCCCCTCCCACCTTCTTTTCTTTGGCCATGTCAGCCCCAGCGCCTTCGATGACTTCATTTGCAGTTTGCTCACAAACTAGTTCATCTTTGAAACAGGAGGGTTGTAAATGCTCTTTACTGTTCAGACACTCTCCACCTTCAAGTTCCTCACAGCGTTGAGACAGAGCAAAATCGCTCCTATCCTCAGTAGATCCTCTGGCCCAGAGCGACCTTGGGACACATTGTGGGCTTCTCCATTGGAAGCTGTCCCATCCAGCTGTATGACTCTCTGTTGGAAGGCAATGCCTAAGCTCAAATCCCACTTCTGACACCTACTGGCTGTACCACTATGGGCGAATCACTCGCCTTCTCTGGGCCTCACAGGCAACTCCAAAGGACTGAGCTAAGAGCTGCATAGACAGGCCACGAGTCACATCAGCGGAGGGAATTTATTCATACTCTATGAACTCATAAGTCCTTGATATTTTGATGCATGTGCCTATGGCCAAGCTCATATGTTTTTGACCGCAGGATATGTGTCTGTGTGTGCCCATGACCTTTCATGTCCATGTCATTCACATACATTTGTGTATAAAAGTGTGTATACTTACATACATGTGTATACACACTTACATGTTCCGTGTCCATAACCTTTCATGTACATACACACACACACATTTATGTTTCATGTCAGTAGCCTTTCCTATATACAATGCATGTATGTGTGTGACATTTTGTTCTGTGGTACCATTGTTCAGGGAACAGAGTCTTGGATTTGGAGTCAGAGGCCTCTTTTCTGGTGGTGGCTCTCTGTTCTACCTGTGTGAGCTTGAGCAAGCTTAATTTCCCTCTCTAAGCCTCAGTTTCTTTCTTTGTCAAAATAAAGAAGTTGAATTAGCCGGTCCTCAGGGTTTCTCCCATTTACCACATCTTACGTTCTGTCTTCTGTGATCTTCCCCAGCCCTGACATTCCATATTCTAAAGACTCACCTAGCTCTGACATTCCATGTTCTAAGGTGCTCCCACCTTTGATTTTCCATGTTCGAAAGCCTCTCACAGCTCTGATATTCTGTCACAAGGTCCCTCTCACTTTTGACTTTTTATATCCCTTTCAACTTTAATGCCCTCTTCTCAGGGCCCTTCCAGTTTGAACATATTTGTAGATTAGGTTCTATGATGCCTTATGGTTCTAACATGAATTGTGTGCTCATTTATGGCCTTTTACTTACACATATGTTTTTGAATATGGCATGTGTGGGTCTGGGTTAAAGTATTGCCTGACCTTATCAATGTATTGATACTGTTATTCCACAAGAATACCCTATCAGGGGTGGGGAGCCTGTTGCCTTGAGGCCACATGTGGCCTTCTAGGTCTTTGGGTGCGGCCTTCTGACTAGGTCCAAGTTTTGCAGAACAAATCCTTTTATGAAGGGGATTTGTTCTGTGAAGTTTGGATTCAGTCAAAGGGCTGCAACTGAAGACCCAAAGGGCCACGTGTGGCCTCTAGGCCACAGGATCCCAACCCCTGCTTGCAGAGCTGTAAGAGACCTTAGAGGGAATAGAATCCGGCTCCTTCATTTGACAGATGGGGAAACTGAGGGTCAGAGAGGTGACTGGTCTTCTTGGCTGAGCCCTTTTCACTGTCCCCTACTGCTTGCTTTTTCATGACAACTTCCTTAGCTTTGTGTTTCTCTGCCCTGGAATGACACTGTCCCTATGTGTCTTTGGCTATGCCCACATCTATGCTTGCATAAATTCAGTCAAGAATGATCATGTATATGCTATGAACATGACACACCTGCTGTGTGTGTGTGTGTGTGTGCGCAGGCTCATGGGGGTTTGTACAAAGCCCTGAGCATTTCATAGCTGTGCACATCCCTGTCTCTGTGCAAAGCTCCTCCTCAATTAAGGCTGTTTCCTTTTCTCCCCTTCCCTCCCCACTAACTTTTTTTTAATTATTTATTTATTTATCTAATTATTTTTGCTATCTGCTGGTCCAAATAATAGAGGGCAGAGTGAAAAGAGGAGACCTGGAGATTAGAGTTGGGATGGGAATCATCTGGATCTGTGGGATGGGATTTATATCCCAGTCTGGAAACCTGGTGATAGCTTCATTATAAAATGGGGTAATAGACTTTAGCAGTGATTTTAAATCCCTTGTCTTGGGTCCCTAGAAGGGAAAGGGCAGGAGGCAGCAGAAATTGGATAGGCAGCTGTTAGAAAGTGGAGGGCTGTTCTCTTTAAAAATCAGGATGCCTTTTAAAAAGAAATATGATGACAAGACCTCTGGGAAATTCCTGGGAGAGATGCTGGAAATCACGCCTTAGATCCCAGGCTGTGTGTCCAGAAGCCACAACCCCTGCGCCTGTTTTGGCCCATGTGTGCCTGCTGTGTGGCTGGGATGTGTCTCCATCCTCACTGACCTCAGACCTTTCCTCCTTAAGCGTCACAGGACAGTGGCAAGGGCCTAGGTGGGGAGGAGTGTGCCCCCCACTCCCAGCCATGGCAGGTGGCGCTCTTCGAAGGGAATCGCTTCAACTGCGGGGCTTCTCTCATCTCCAGCAAGTGGCTGCTAACTGCTGCCCACTGCATCACCGGGTATGGATATGGGGGTCTGGCCTTGAGTGGGTGAGGAGGGGGCAGACACCCAAAGATCTGGAGGCTTGGGTCCCTGAGTGGGTAGGGGCTTGGGGCCAGGGGTACTTTGTTTTCATGCTAGCCCTGTCTGCCACTTACTGGCTGTGTGACCATGGGAAAATAAATAACTGATATGAGCCTCAGCTTTCCCCATTTGTAAAACGGCACGGTTGAACTAGACGATATTGAAGGTTCTTCCCCTCTCTAATCTTGTATGACTTGTCTATGGCATGGACACCTGAGTCCCTGAGTGAGACCGGGAGACCCAGAGCACACAGATCCACTTGTGGGATGAGGTGGAGCGGATTGTGGAGCGGGGTTTGGGGGATTAAGATGCTTTGGTCCCCGAAAAGAAGTGCAGCATTCAGGACATCAAGGTTCCTGAGGTGGCCTGAGACCCTGAGGGAGAAGTGTGAATCAGGACTCTCGAGGACACCTGGGGTCCTGAAGGAGAAATGGGAATCTCTGGCCCCTAAGCAGGCCAGGCCTGGGGATCAGTGCACCGCCCCCAATTGGTCACCTGACTTGTCCGGCAGCAATATGCGGGTCCGGCTCGGGGAACACAACCTCCGCGTGTGGGAAGGAGTGGAGCAGCTGCGGGGAGTGGCCTATGCTTTCCCCCACCCTCGCTACAAGAATCGGGGCCATCATGATGACATCATGCTTCTCCGCCTGACCCGGCCGGCCAGCCTGTCGGACAGCGTCCGGCCCGTGGCCCTGCCCACCCGCTGCCCCCGTCATGGGGAGCAGTGCGTGGTCTCGGGCTGGGGCTTGGTGACCGAATCCAAGGCAGGGCCCCAGAGAGACATGAGGGACCGAGGTGCGTGGAGAGCAGAAGGAGAACCCGGGAGGTTCAGATGCCTGGGTCACTGAGATGCGCGAGAGCAGGACAGAGCAAGATAATTGGGATCCCCAAAGGGCAGAGGGGCTGGGGGTGGGGGAAAGGAGGGACACAGAATAGTGAGGATATGGGGGCGGGACTGGGAAGGGAGCTGAAGTACATGAGTCTGAGATTCCAGGCTGTGGAAAGACTGGATTGCTGGCTCACCCGTGTCCAGAGTGATTTGGGGACTGAGAGGCAGATATTTGCAGGGCAGAGGAACTAGCCCGTGACAACCGGATTTCAAGAGTTAAGCTGTAGCCTCCTGTGACTAAGTCCCCTGCAGACTTAGACTAGGGACTTGGACTTCTGAGTCCCCGAAGGTAGAGTGAGCTATGACCCTTAACCCTTACGTCCCAGGGAAAGGGCTTTAGCTCCTCCCAGGAGCTCTGGGGCCTGAAATATTTCATATCTGAAAGGACGGGAGTAATATCATCTCCGTACCTGGTTGGAGGTGTAGTCCTGGAGAAATGGGAGGGGATGTCCCATTTGGGAGTGGAAACTAAGGTCTAAATCTTGGGTCCCTTCCTAGCTGCCGTGCCCACGGTGAAGCTCCCAGACACTCTTCACTGTGCTAACATCAGCATCATATCAGCTGCTTCCTGTGACAAGGATTATCGCGGGCAGGTGACAGATACCATGGTGTGCGCTGGTGTTGCGGGAGGAGGCACCGACTCGTGCGAGGTCTGAGCCATAGAGCATCTGCTCATCTGGGGAGATAGCAGAGTGCTGGGAAATGGAGAGGGAAATGAGGATGAGGATGGGAATGGCAAAGGAGTTTAGGCTTGGGAACAGGAAGGAGGGTGGGTTTGGACTTGAAGATGGGAATGGTAACAGGAATGAGGATGGGCTAGCGAGAGAGAAAGGAGATGGGGATGGAGTTGGGTTATTGGCTAGGGCTGGGGTGAGGATGCACTTGGAGGACAGTTGGGACAGCAGCTCTGTTTTTGTTGCCTTTTCTTCCCTCAGGGTGATTCGGGAGGCCCCCTGATCTGCGGGGGAATGCTGCAGGGTATTGTCTCATGGGGTGATGTCCCCTGTGATACCACGGCCAAGCCAGGGGTCTACACCAAAGTATGCAAATACTTAGGTTGGATTCGAGATGTGATGAAGAAGTACTGAGCTGGAATGATCCCTGCTCATCGGCAGCTGTTCATACTTCCCCTGTGGATGCCTTGGGAGCGCTCCCTGACATCTTCTTCTTGTCTGGGGCAAGACAGAGACCTGACCCTTTTCACCTCCAGCCCAAAGAACTGGAGATTGACTAAGAAAAATGCTTCACTTTAAGAACCTGGAGCTCTCCCCCAAGATTCTGTCCAAAGTAACCATATAATCAAGATTGTAATTTGAACTAGTCCACCTGGCATTTCTGTGTCTTCAGATAAAGTCAACAAGTCACAAGCACTTATTAAGAAGTAACTATGTGCCAGGCACTGTGCTCTGATTGTGTGTGGTGTGATCAGCTGGGATCCGATATAGTAGAGAGCCAAGTGGCACAGTGGGTAGGAAGACCTGAGTTCAAATCTAGTCTCAGACACTTAACTAGCTTTGTGACTCTGGGCAAATCACTTAATTTCTGTCTACCTCAGTTTCTTCATCTGTAAAATGGGGATAATAATAGCACTTCTTCCCAGGGTTGTTATAAAGATTAAATGAGAAAATTTGTAAAGCACTTTGCTAAATTGCTACATAAATGCTAGATATTATTATTATTATTTGTGTTGAAGTCTGAAAACCAACCCTAACTATCCTTTTACTTCTCATTATTTTAATTGCTTTCATTTCTTCAGGGATAATGACAACTCAGTGGGGTAGGTAGTACAAGCATGATTAATCCCACTTTAAAGCTGAGGAAACTGAGGCACAGAGGAGGGAAGTGGCTGGTCCAAGATGGCTAGTGAGTGACTGAAGTGGGATTTTAACCTGGGTCCTCAGATAACATTGCTAGCACTTTTTCTACTGTTGCCTGTTTTCATTTAAGTCCACACCTTGAAATATCTGGTTGGAGAAAATCTCATCCTCAGTCTCTCCCACTACTTCACCTCTTCCCCCGACCCATGTTTCCATTCCCATCATTTTCCTTTAATTTTTTCTCTCTGCCTCAATTTCACCTCTTTTCTGTCTCAGTCTCTGTTCTGATGAGCAAGCACTGAGCTGAGCACAGTGAAAACAGATGGAGGTGTAAAGATTAGATGCCCCCTGCCCTTAGGGAGCTCACCATCTAGAACTCGGCAGAATGTCATTCTCTCCTGTTCAGGCTCTTCTTTCCCCTCCTTTCACAGGAAGCAGTATGGTATAACAGGAAGAACACTGGATTTAGAGTCAGAGGGATTGATTTTGATTGTGGGCTGTAGGACCTGGGACAGTCATTTCACCTTTCTTGGCCATTTCAGTGAAACGATGGGGTGGATTAGATAGGCCATCTGGTCTCTATGTTTCCTTCCAATTCCCAATCCTATGACTATCATTATGTTGCTATATTCCCTTATGTATCAGGCATGTTTTTTTTAAGCCCAATTCCTGAATGCTTAGGCTCAAGAGTGCTAATAGTCATTGTAGGAAAGCAAGAACTTTATTTCCCTTGAAGCCATTTTTCATAGCTTAGCTATGGATTTGATGTCCCCAGTGGATGGTCCGGTTCTGGGCCCAGGCATATGGGGAAATGTAGTCCTTTTCTATCTCACTATCATCTGTTATGGTTAAATTTATACGCAACTCCATCCTCAATACACAAATGCACACTTCTTTTTACTCATTTCCCCTACATTCTACCATTCCCATCCTATATGTTTCTGTTTCCAGTATAGTAACAAAATACAAATTTATACCTTTCTTACAACAATACTGTGACTTAGATGGTATCTTCCTCATCGTATAAGTGAGTCAACAGAGACTCTGCGAGGGGTGATTTCTTTGGGGGTTACACAGTCAGTTGATGTCTGATGTGGGATTTGAATCCAGGTTTCCTGGCTCTAAGACCATTAGTCTTTCTACTATGCCATTCTATTTCTCCATGTTCCCTGTTCACCTCCATTCCACCATTCATCTCTCTTCATTGTTCATCTCTTTTCTTGTTATTCATTTCTCTTCTTTCTCCAGCCAGCCAGTAAACAAGCCTTTGTTAGGCACTCACTCCACCAGGTACAGTGCAAAGCGAGCTGCGGAGAACCCAGATTCCCACATTCCCTTCCATTTCTCCAGTTCCATTTCCTCCTTCCCCTCTACCCCTCTTCCAGTTTTCTCACTCATTCCCATTGCTGTTTTGTTTTTAATTCTCTCGTTCACCTCTTTTCCCCCTCATTCCCCTCTATTTCATTCAAAACACATTTACTTAGTGCCAGGCTCTGTGGTTAAGTTCTGAGAATGCAAAATTAAAACCAGAATGGTTCCTATCCTCAAAGAGCTCACATTCTACTGAGGGGAAATCAGTGTGTCATGTATGACCATATATAATGCTAACATTTATATAGCATTTACAGTGTCAGACACTGTGCTAAGAGATTTATAATTACTATCCCATTTTATTCTCATAACCACTCTGGGAGGTAGGGACTATTATCATCCCCATTTTCAGATAAGGAAACTGAGGCAAACATGGTCAAGTGACTTGCCCAGAGTCACTCAGCTAGTTAGTGTCTGAGGCCAGAATTTAACTTGGGTCTCCCTGACTCCAGGCCCAGTGGTCTATCCACCACACCACCTAGCTGCCCCCATACCAATAAATACAAAATATTAGCAAAATAAATACAAAGTAATTTAAATGTGTTTGTGGGGGAGGAAGGGCACAAAAATATTTAGAAGAGTCAGATAAGGCCTCTTGAAGGCAACAGTCTTTAAATGGGTCTTGCCATTGGAGGCACAGGGGAAGAGCTTACCGTAAGGCATCATGAGTTGAGGATGTTCTGCAAATGAATGAATGAAAATCCATTTATTAAGCAATGTGCCAGGCACCTTGTTAAGTAGCACTAGGGCAGAAATACAAACAGTGAGTAATATATCACTTAACATACACCAGGCACTGTGTTAAGAGCTTTTGGCAAATATTCTTTCATTTGATTCTCACAATATCCCTGGGAGGTGCTATTATTAGTCCCATTTTACAGATGAAGAAACAGGCAAACAGAGGTTAAGTGACTTGCCCAGTGTCAATTAGCCAGGAAGTGTCTGAGATCAGATTAGAAACTGGGTCTTCTCAAATCTACCTGCTGGCACTCTACCTACTACTCCACCTAGCTCCCCCTTTTTTAAAAACAAATTGCCCTCAGGGGGCTTCCATTTTAACAGGGAAGAACACACATAGAAAATGTGGGAGATAGGTTTGCAGCTGAAGGGTGGTAGCCTGACTCTGAACAAGTTAGGAGCAAAGGTCAGCTATTAGAGGGGCAGGACTCCAGGGAGAGGAGGAGGAGGAGGGTGGCCAGGGTACAGGTAACATGGTTTTGAAATGGGCAGGGATGGAATAGGGGCCAGGCAGGTAGGACAGTCTTGCTGAACCAGAGAGAACAAGATGGGGGAATATGGAATTAGCCTGGATTTTGAAGGCTTTCAATGCCAAACAAGGTTTTTAAGAATTAACCCCCCCAACCCCTCCACCCCTGTTCACCTCCATCCTCTCCCTTCCACTGTGATCTACCAACCCAAACCCATTTCCTTCAATTTCCTTCCGTTTATCCTCTCCTTTCTCTGGCTTTTTATTGGGATGGCAGAGGTCCAGGGGAATGGTGGTGCTAAATGTCCATAGTGCCTGGGGGGCAGGCACCTGGCCAGAAAACGTAGCTGAGAGTCACTTCAGGCTGTCCAGGGTGCTTGGTGCCAAATCTAGAACAATTTTTCCACCTGCCAAATCAACAGGGACACTGACATGGAGCTTGAGGTGTGAAGGGGGAAGAACCCAAAGTGGGAAATAGAACCACCTGTATTTTCCTGATGGTTGTGGGGTGCCAACTTGGCAGATGGGGGGCCAGAGGTGTGGCCCCTTTAAGAAGGTCTGATAATCACTTTCTTTTGCCTCATCTACCCAGACACTCTGAGCCATTCCCCATCCTGGCTCCCAAGTGCCAGCATGTGGCCCTTAGCCCTGGTCCTAACCCTTACCTAAGATTGAAGGGAGTAGGCTGGGAGTCTAGGCTGTGCTCGGGGCTGGAAAAGCGATGAATCTCCTCCCATCTATTGTCTAGCCCTGGTTCCCAGTGCCCTTCCTGGCCTCCTCTGTCCCCCAGGGCACCTCAGCTCTCTACTTTGTCCCCTTTCACTTCAAAGTCAAGGCCCCTTCGACTCTGGATCTTGGCTGGTTCTGACTGTCCTGTAGCCCCACTTACAGCAGGCCGCCTTGTATGAATGCAGGCGTCCTCATTGCTCCCAAGTGGGCACTACCTGCTACCCACGGCAAGACCCTCCCTCTGTCCTCACTAACTCCATGGCTCTTTGCCTGTTTTATTCTCTATGGCTGTCCCTGGCACTTTGTCTGTCTCTGTTGACCTCAGTGGTCTTTGCCATCTGTATCCGGTTCTTTGTCACTCTCCATTGTCCACACTGGTCCACTGCGGTCCCTATGTCTGTTAGTCTTTGTCTCAGTTGGCCATGCCTGTGCCTTTCTGTCACAGTTCCCCCTGTGTTGTAGACCAGGTGATCTCTGCTCTTTGGACTGTCTGTCCTTCTCTGGCACTCTCATGTGCCACCTGGTGAACTGGGGAGGTGAAGAATCTGTCAGCTCCAGATCTGGGGCAAAAGGGGTCAAGGAGGAAGAGAGAGGGCTCCTGGGACCTTGGGGCCAGCTGCTAGTGACCTCTCAGGTTGTGTGGGAGAAGGGAAAAGGGAATAGATGGGGGGGGGTAGATGTGGAGGCAACCTCAGAGAAAGATTTCCAGGCTCCATCCCTGGGATTCAGGGAACTTTTTCCCCAAACTTAATCCTATTGGCCACACTTCATTTCTTCACACTGCTTCTCCTCTTTGCTTCTTCCTCTGTCCCAATTTCTTGCTGTCATTTCCCCTCTATTCTGCATCTTTCCTTTCTCCCTGCTCTGTCCATCTCTCCTCCCTCTGTATCCTTGTCTTTCCTCTTTCTGAGTATCCTTTCAATTCCTTTCTCTTGTTCTTCTCCCTCTTTCCATTCTCCTCATCCTTCTTCCATTTCCCTCTTTTTAGCCTTCTCCCTCCTTTCCCTATCCCTCTCTTGTTCTCTTTTCTCTCATTTCCATTTTCCTCTTATCTCCCTGTTTCTCTCCCTCTCCATCTTTCCCTCCCCTTCTTTCACCTTGCGTTCCTTACCTCTTGTCCCCTTTCTCTCCTCCCTTTCTACTCTCTCCTCATCTTCCTTCTCTTTCTTGCTATTGCTCCTTTTCTCCTTCATTTTTACCACTTTTTCTCATCTCTTGCTTAGCTCTTATCAGACCTGGCTGGGCTGGCATACCTTACAGGAAGAGGAGAATGGTAAGTTGTTCCCAGTGAAGGCTAGCTTCATCCATCCTTGCTCCAACCAGAGTCTCCTGAATCTCCCTAGTTTGGCTGACCCAAGCCATGACTCCATGCTGCTACAGTTGGCCTCTCCAGTCAGGGTCAATAGGTCCATGAGGCCCCTGACCCTGACTCTGAGCCATTAGGCCACATTCAGAGTCAGCCCATCTGCCAGGCTTCAGGCTGGGATAGCATCACCTGGCTTCCTGTTGAGCAGGGGACTGGAGGGTCTGGATAGTTGGGTCCCTAAGGAGAAAAGGATTAGGGGAATCAGGGTGTCTAAATCCCTAAGGAGCAGGAGACTGGGAGAGCAGGATGTCTGGGTTCCCAAAGGAATAATTAATGGGAAGTCAATGGGGACTCTTGACATTCAGATGAGGATGGGATCAGAGATCAGCATGCCTGGATTAACTAAGAAAAGTAGGGAATGGGGATTGGGTACTTGGGTCTCTGGGGTAGGGCTAGGGAAGCCCCAGTCCGGAAGGGCAGGGACTTGAAGACTGAATCTATGAATTCCTTTAGAAAGTAGGAATATTGAGGGTCCAGGTACCTGAGTCCCAGAACTGTTGGGGAGCTAAGGGATTATCTCCAGCATGATCCTGGACCTGACCTCTCTCTTTCCCCCCAGAGCTGAATTATGTGGATTTGGAAATCCTACTCAACCAAATCTGTGATGATACTCACCCCTGCAACATGACCCAATACATGCTGTGTGCTGTGACCCTAGCTGGGAGCAAGGAAGGATGCCTAGTAAGTCTTCTCCAAGGCCTGGGAGCCTTGGGAGGTGGTAGTGGGTTGAGTATCCCAGGGCAAGATGGTGGGGTGCCTTGAAGAAGTGTTGTAGAGAGTCAAGATGTGGGATCAATCCCCACTTCTACTACTGACTTGTAGCCAAGACAACTCCCCTTTGAGACCTAGACTGCTTATTGGTAAAATGAGTAGGTTGGCGAGGATCCACAGGGTGCCATTCCGTTTTGACATTTTGGAGAGTCCAATGATCACTCCAGGGACTCCTCTCTCCCAAACTCCTAGTCCTGGACAGTTTGCTGCCCTTGGCACAGTCTGTCCCCTTCCCCCGGCCCGGGAAACAAACTCCTAAACAAAGTCAGGTGTGGAAGGGGATTTAGAAATCATTTAATTCCCATCCTGCATTTTATATGTAGGATAAGTTGAGAGCTAGAGAGAAGTTACACGCAGCCCTCTATGAACTCTAACTTACCCGATTGGACAGAGAGAGGTCCAGGGTTGGGGGGGGGGCAGATACTCCTCTGTCTAAGATGGTGTAGTCATGGCTGGAGAATCAGGAACCTGAGACTGGAGTTTACCTCCACTGGCACCTCAATGTGTGATGTTCTCTGCATCACCTGGCACCTCAGCTCCCTCTCTCTGATGTGGGGAGTTGGAGATCATCTCTAAGGTTCCATGGGCTGAGGGATGAAATAAAAGGCCTTTTCCTTGGGGTGGGTCAGAGATGGCCCTGAAGAGCTGGAGATTCAGCATCTCCTCCACCTTTGCTTTGAAGGGCTCCATCTGAAAGCACAAGGGCTCTGGCAGCCTAAGGCTGGGTATTCTAGTATCCTCTAGTCCAGGGATGGGGAACCTGTGGCCTTGAGCCACATGTGGCCTTCTAGGCCTTTGACAGAATCCAAGTTTTACAGAACAAATCTTTTTATTAAGGAGATTTGTTCTGTGAAGTTTGGATTCAACCAAAGGGCCACGCTTAAGGACATAGAGGGCCATGTGTGACCTTGGGGCCACAGGTTCCCTACCCCTGTCCTAGTCTAAATTGAGAGGTTCACCCTCACCCCCCTCCCAGGATGGCCAAAAGGATGAGCCTTTTCATTGCTGTCTCCTAGACTGACAGCCAAATGGGAGGGGGGAGAAGAATGATGGACCCCCACCAAGGGCCTGAAAGTCTTCAAGCATCCCAATCCCAGATGCTTCCCAGAGTACAAACCACTGTCAGAAATCCTTCTTCATCAGATTAGACCATAGAGACAATGTCTTTTCAGCCACTGGTCACATCTGGCTAATTGTCCTGGAGAACCAGGATTTGGTGAGGGCAAATAGGAGTTGGGCTGCAGGGAAACCTTCTTGCTCAGACTGGGCTCTCTCATCTCTCGAGGGTGATTCAGGTGGCCTCCTAATATGTAATGGTGTCCTCCAAGGCATCATTATCTTGGGGTAATATTCTCTGGGATTGCTGGGAAACCTAGCATCTTTACCTGGGGTGGGGGATGGGGGTGGTGGGAGGTATGTGAAACACTTAGTTTGAATCCAGAAGACTGTGAAGAACTGAGTCTCCTCTTTAGGCCCATTCTCATCTCTCACTGCCTGGCCCTGTTTCCTGTAAACTTAGAAAAGATGCACTTCCCATGTGTCTGCCTCCTTTTTTATCCTTAACCAAACACCAAACCCAATCTCAAGTCCTTATCCAATGCTGTAGTGAAAATACATCTGGATATGGAGAACTGGAATCGGGGGACCTGATTTTGATTCCTGCCTTGACCTCCCTGGCTTTGGGCAAGTCATAGAGATAGAGGTTCATGGAGGTCTAGAGCTAGGACAGATCTCAGAGGCTGCAGAATAGCCCCTTCATTTGTAGAGGAGTAAACTGAGATTGGTCTGTCCAAAGTCACTCAGGTTGCAAGTAGGAGAGGCAAGATTGGAACGTAGGTCTTCTGACTCCAGAGCACATTGCCTCCTTTGATCTGGTCACATTAATGAAGCCATATCCATGAATTAGAATAGTATGGTTCTTTCATGGGGACCCCAGAGCTGACAGAGACTCCTGGGGCCTCCCAGGCTTCCCCTGTGAGCCTCCACCCTTATGCTCCATGGGTCTCAGTTCTTCATTTGTCGAATGAAAGGGGTTTGGTTAAAAGGTCTCTGAGGCTTCTTCCTAGCTCCAGCTCTAAAGACCTATGACATTCATTTTAAATCACCAATAACCCAGGCAGAATTGGAGATAGAGACTGAGAGACAGAAGCAGGTATTGAAACATCAATGCAGAGGCATTGCTATTGTGAGACTCTGAGGGAGGGAAGGAGGGAGAAGGGGAAAGGAGAGTGAGGAGAGGAAGAAAGTGAGACAGAGACTGAGAGACAAACAGAGACAAGACAGGGAGAAACAGAGACAGAGACAGATCTAAAGGCAGTGAGGCAGTAATACACATTTGAATTAGAGACACAGGGAGAACATCTCAGACTGGGAAAGACAGGGAAAGGCAAGAGGATGGAGAGTGGGAGTTACAACTGGAGAAATGAGTTATAGACACACACACAGAGAAAGAGAGAGACAGAGACAGGGAGACACAGACAGAAAGAAAGATAGAGACACAGAGAGAGAACTAGAGACAAACACACAGAGAGCTAGACAGACAGAGACAGAGAGCTAGACAGACAGAGAGACCTACATTGAGTGAATTAGAGACAGTCTGGGAGGGGAGGAGGGAGGGACAGAGGCAGAGAAGGAGAGAGAAAGAGACAGAGACAGAGACAGAGACATAGAGACAAAAGGACCCAGGTCACCGAATAGTAGACAGAGTTAGAAGGGTCCTGAGAAGTCATTGAATCACTTCCCGCCCACCCCATTCCCTTTTTACAGATAAGGAGACTGGTTGAAATGACTGCCTAGACCTGAAACGGAATAGGATTTTCCTTCGTTTTCACTACTCGCCTACTTCCCCACCCCCAACCCCTATGCGCGCCTCCTCAGCCCCCAACCCAAACACGCCAGACTAAAAGTTCTAGGACTCGAAGACGGGCAAGTTTTATTGGGGACATTGAATTGAATGAATTGGGGGCATGCCAGTGGAGGGAGGCAGTAGGAGGCCGGGGCTCGCTAGGACAGATGGGGCGTAATTTGGAAGGTGGTCCTGCGTCGCCCCACCCGGAGTTTTTTCATCACGTTATGGGAGTAGGAAGACGAGGATCCCTGCAGCGCGATCATCGAGCCGGGCTTCGAGGGCGAGGTGGGAACCCTGAAGGTATGCCAGTAGTTGATCAGGCAGAGGGTGCCTGGAACAAGGAGGGTGGAGACACAGCTGGCCAGGCTCCCCGGAGAGACGGGAGGGAAGGGGGAGAGAAGAAGAGAGGAGGCACGGAAGGCAAGGGAAGCGAGAAGAGTGGGGGAGAGGCCATCCATCCCCTCCCGCTCCTTCCTTTTTTTTGGGGGGGACTCTGTCCTCGCCCCCTCCCCATCTGATCCTGAGGCACTCACTCTACTCAACTTGTCCTCCCCTCCCTTCCATCCTTCTCGCCTCTAGTCATCTCAGCCCCTGCTTCCGTGTCTCGATCTCTCCTTTCCCCTTTTTCTTTCCTTCTTTCACCTCTTTCCCCCATCTTTCTTCTCCTGTCTTTCTGTCTTCTTTCCAATTCTCGTCTCCCTTTTCCCTTTCCCGCATCTCCCCTCCTTTCTTGGCTCTCTCTTCTCCCTCTCCAGTCTCCCCTCCCTTGCCCCCTTACCTGACAAGATCAGTATCAGGGAGCTAGCCCAGCACAAATAGTAAGGGGGAACGAAGGTGACTTTGTCGAAGTGGAGGTTCCAGCATTCGATACTGAAGAGCAGCATACTGAGGAAAATCAGGACCCCTGGGCTCCGGTGGGGCCAGAGACACAGAGGCCCTGAGACACTCAAAGTGTCTTCTGCCTCTTATTGCTACACTATGTGGTCTCAGAGTAACCCCAAAACAGACGGAGGTGCAAAGAGACTGAGAGAACTCAGGGAGAGTCGAAGGAAGGGGACAGAGTCACAGGAGGAGACAGAAAGTGCTGAGACATAGAAGAGAACCGGAGATATTAAGAGATGAAGATAGGAGTGGGGGGAGGGAGAGGGAGAGGAGGGGGAGAGAGAGAGAGAGAGAGAAAGAGAGAGAGAGAGAGAGAGAGAGAGAGAGAGAGAGAGAGAGAGAGAGAGAGAGAGAGAGAGAGAGAGAGAGAACCTTGTGTTGTAAAATACACTGGGACTGAGATGCAAAGATAGAGACAGGGGCACAACAAAACACATGTTAGAAAGGGTCTTTCACATGGAGACGGAGAAACCAGAAGTAGATTCAGAGACAGAAAGACAAGGGCACAACAGGAGAGAAAGACTTTAGAAAGACAGACACATGGAGACAGAGAGACCAAAAAGAGGTACAGACAGACTCATAGGAAGTGCAACATGAGATAGAAGACCTTGAAGACAGAAACAGAGGGACACCTAGACACAGTAGGGCTTAGACATGCTGCCAAGGAGAGATGAGTACAGAAGAGGCGCAAAGATCCACAGGATGGCCTTGGAACCATTCCTCTTTCCCCCTTCCAACTCCTCAAACCAAGTCTCCTCTCTCATGTGAGATCACCTTTTCCCACCCTGACCCAACCCCCCCCCCCACTGGACCTCAAGCCCGACCCCAGGTCCACCCTACCAGTGGTATAGTTGAGGATACCAAAGACCAAATCACAGCGATTGATTCTTCGGAAGATGGGCCGGAAAGAGAAGCCCATGAAGAAGAGGCAGAAAGTCTCAGTGGCCAGGGCAAGGATCATGAAGCCCATTCCCAGGTGTTTACTCACTGGAGAGAAGAAGTGATGTTGGTAGAGCCGTTAGTCAGTTTCCTCCCAGACCTTCCTCAGTGCAGGGATAGGGATAGGGGTAAGAATGAGACTGCGGTAGGCTTAGATAGAGGGAAGATGAATTGTACAACGGGAGCTTTGTCATTCTTCTTGCCTCTGTCCTCCCATACCCCGCCTGCTTGAGGTTCTCATCCATACCTGTGACCTTGTCTAGTTTGGGGCAGGTGTGCCGTTGGCAGTTGGTAAAGTAGCCCAGGACTTCAGTGTGAATTGCTGATACTTCAATGATAGCCAGTCGTCCATCAGCCAAAGAAAGCAGCAGCAAAAATGCTAAAGCACTAATGGAGAGAGCCCAGGCCCTCAGGACAAATCGACTTTCATCCCAGATAGTGATAGGTATTCGAAACAGAGTTTCTAGGCGAAGAGTAGGGGACAAAGGAGATTTGTATTCATTATATGCAGTGCCCACCCAATTCATCACCAATCCCATCCCCTTGCCCCCAAGCTCATCCCCAACCATATGCCTATTCTTATTTCTATTTCTATCCCCTCTTCCAAACTCCACTTTTATCTTTGTCTTCATCCAAGCTCACCCTATCGTCATGTCTCTATTCTATCATTTCATCACGCTAATTCAACCCCAAACCACACATCATCACCATCTCACAGTCAAATTTATTCTAATCTCCCCTCCTGACTCCAGAAAAAATGGTACGGACAGGAAATGTGTGGGAGGGTCAGAGAAGTATATAACACTTGAGCTGAGCTCTTAGGTACCTTCCCCACTCCAACCCCATTTTCATCCTGCCTTTTGTGGGTGTGCCCGTGTTTATACCATCCCTGGAGACCATAAGAGAAACCCTTTCCCATCACCAGAGATGAACAGTTTTCTTTTGTCTAACCTCAACTCAGGTGCTGCTTCTGAGAAGCCTACCTTGAATCTCTCTTCCCCATGTGTGCAGTGAATTTTGCCTTCCTCATTTTTTTCTTTCGTAGCACTTTCCCTGGCTCTCCTTGACACTTATATCACTTTCCTATGTGTCAAAGTAATTAGTTTGCATGTGTACAACAGGCCCTGTCTTGTATTAATCTTTGTATACTTAGCAGAAAGCTCATACTTGTTAATTTCGGCTGAATTTAATGGAACTTGGCAGGATTTTGAGTATGTGATTGGATGATCTAGTCTGCCCTCATTTTGCAGATAAGAAAATGGAGCACCAGAAAAGTGAAGTTATTTGCCCAAGGTCACAGAAGTAGAAGGTGGTCAGGTTGTCCAAGTACAGATCCAGCCCACTTTCCACTATACCAAATTGTGAAGGAATTGAGGGGATTAGGACAGCAAATGGTTAATTGTGAGAATTGAGTGAACCCCACCGACTCCATCTAGTGACCCAATTCTGGGTCCCTTTCTATTCAGCTATGGGTCTAGTCCAATTTCTGTCCAATGAGAAAACTATTTAATTGTGGGAATTGAAAGGAAACCTTATTGCATTGTTTGAACCTAGCCCTGTGTGACTGGGAAGCTGTACCACCCCTACCTGCTACTTAGATAGACCCTTAACTAAAGACGTTTTCGCACAATTGTACATCTCAAGGAATTCATATGTCTTATCTGAAAACTGGCCCCATATTGATCAAGCAGTTATTGCTTCCACATTCCTTTGATTGTTTATAGACACTTGGGGTGGGGAGGAGTGTACCTCTTTTTCTGATTTCAGGGAATTACATCTGTGCACTCTCCCTTTCCCAACTTGGAAAGTTCTTAATCTTTCCTCCAATTAGAAATCAGATTACCTAATATTGTATTGTTGTTTCCTTTTAATTAATTGGCCTTATTTGATTAATTGGATTTTTTAATTAATTGTTTTTAATATATAAAAGTCTGTCTCCCACTGTATTCAGGTTCTAGCCCTAAGATGAGGAAGGGGTCTGGACCTGCTTTGTTGGGCAATTGGCATGCATTGTTTAATAAATCAATATTCTTAGAAGATTGAACCTTTGTTTCTTCAGTCATTTCATCTTTCATTTGCTACAATTTTCTCTCCAGAAGAGAGAAGACAACCTAAATGTTGTGGAATGAATGGAATGTGGTGGGCAGCATTGAGACCATTCTGGACAGTATGCTAGGCTAAGGAGTTTGAATCTGATTCGATGGGTAATATGGAGCCAGTGAAGAGTTTGAGCTAGAGATGATATGAAGGGTTGAAGTGAGAAGGCCTGGCCGTGGGAAATGAAAGAGAAGTAGGAATCAGGAAATGATTTCAACTAAACATACACTTTTCAAGTCCTTAATTTGTGCAAGTCAGTTACTAGGAGTACAAAGGTGGGTAAGAACAAATTCTGTCTTTGATATTTGATTCTATTTGAGATTAGGACATGTATAGAAAAATAATATGGCACAATGAGGAAAAAGCAGGAATGAAGGGGGCCTGGCATTCTACATTAAAGACTGAGCTCTGTGCTTTAATACAGTAATCTTCAAAACTGTTTGGTCTGGTTAAAAAAAAAAGATCATTGATCCAGACTAGGTAAGCACGATCTTGAAGAACATAAATAGAGTAGTTCAGTGTTCCATAAATTCCAAAACACAAACTACTGGGAGAAAGACTCTTTGTATATGAAAAATTTCTGGGGAAAAGATTGGTAGAAAATAGGTTTGGACCATCATCTTGTACCTTATGTTATAATAAATTCCAAAAAGACAAGTGACCTAAATATGTAAAAAAACATATCAAGGAAGATTGATGGTTTATCTTTCACAACTATGTATTGGGAGTGGGAAGGGAATTTGTTACTAGATAAGGGAGAGATTATAAAAGACCAGGAGATTATAAAATTCAAAGTAAATAATTGCAGTGATTCAAACTTAAAAGAGCTTTTGAGTAAACAAATTCAATTAAGCTAAGAAGTTGAACTTTCACTGGGAAAGATTTTGCATCAAACATTGCTGATAAAAAGCCTGACATCCCAAATGTATTAAGAATTGACCCAAATATATAAGATTAGTAGCCATTTCCCAATAGACAAGTGGTTAAAGGATATGTACAAGCATTTTTCAAAAGGAAAATGAGTCTTCCTGACTCCAGGCCCAGCACTGTATCCACTACACCTGAAATTATGTTAGAATATTACTAAACTGCTCATACTTTTTGACTCACTACCTTAAGTCAATGACAGACACAGTTTTCATGTTATCTCTGTTTGTATTAGGAAAAAAAACTGGAAACAAGTAGTTGTCCATCTATTGGAGAATGGCTAAACAAATGGTTATGTGCGATTTTTTAAAATTTTGATATTTTTAAAATTTTTAAATTAAATTATATTTTTTGTCAACCAACAGAAACCCACCTTCTCTCCCTCCCACCATGCTCCCCATTGAAAAAGAGAAAAAAAAACCTTACTCTTAGAAATATGTTTAGTTAAGCAAAACAAATTCCTGCATTGACCATGTCCAAAAATATATCTGAATCAATCTTCTTTGGGTCCATCACTTCTCTCTCAGGAGATGGGTATTTGAGCATGAGTAATAACATTTCTCTATAATAGAGGTTCTTAATCTTATTTGTGTGTAATAGATCTCTTTTAGTCAACCAACAAACGTTCATTAAGTATCTACTATGTGCCAGGTACCATGCTAAGTTCTGGAGATATATAAAGAGGCAAGCCTATGGGCCCCTTCTCAGAATACTGGCTTTAAATGCATAAAATAAATTCACAGAATTGCAAGGGAAACCAGTCATGTTGCAATAGTTATCTAAAAAGAAAAACAAGCTTGTAGACCCCATGTTAAGAATTGCTACTGTCTAAGGAGCACCGAACATGGGGAATTCCACAGAAACACAAGGAGATTTTTTTTAATGGATTTAGTATGAGGAGAGGAGAAGCAGAAAAATAATAATGCAATGACTACAATAGTAGAAATGAACAAAGTACTCATAGACCAAAGATACTTGATGGAGTGCAAAGATCACTCTTGTTTCAATGACTGATTTGAAGAATACCATATCCTCTATTCTTTGCGGTGGAAGTATTAGACAGTTTTAGTCACCTTTTTTTTTCTGTTAAGGTAAGAATAGGGATGGATTTCTTGGAAGTAAATGGAATTTAGCAAAATGCACTAATAAAATATTTTAAAAGATTCATTAATTAATTTAGTTTTAGTTTTCAACATTCACATCCACAAGATTTTGAGTTCCAAATTTTCTCCCCATCTCGTCCCTCCCCCGACCCCAAGACAGTGTGCATTCTGAATACCCATTCCCCTAATCTGCCCTCCTTTCTATCTCCCCCGACCTTATCCCCTTCCTCTTCTATTTCCCTGTAGGGCAGGATAGGTTTCTATACCCCATTGCCTATACATCTTATTTCCCAGGTGCATGTGAAAACGATTTTTTAACCTTTGTTTTTAAAACTTTGGGTTCCAAATTTCCTCCCTTCCTCCCTTCCCACTCACCTTCATTTAGAAGGCAAGCAATTCAATACAGGTTATACACGTGTAGTCACGTAAAACTCTTCCATAGTAGTCATGCTGTGGAAAACTAATTATATTTCCCTTCATCTTATCCCACCCCCTGTTTATTTTATTCTCTTTTTTGATCCTGTCTCTCCTCAGAAGTATTTGCTTCTGATTACCCTCTCCCCTAATCTGCCCTCCCCTCTATCATCCCTCCCTGCCCCCCTTATCTCTTTCCTCCTTATTTTCCTGTAGGGTAAGATAGCTTTCTATACTCAATTGATTGTGTGTGTTATTCCCTCCTTAAGCCAAATCCAATGAGAATAAGATTCATTCATTCCCTCTCACCTTCCCCCACTTCCCCTCCACTGTAAAAGTTCTTTCTTGTCTGTTTTGTGTGAAATAATTTACCTTATTCTACCTCTCCCTATCTCCTTCTCCCAGTATAATACTCTCGCACTCCTTAATTTTATTCTCCAGGTATCACCCATTCATCTTCAACTTACCTTGTGCCCTCTATCTGTCAATCTATCTATACATATAACTTTTTTTTCCTCCAACTACCCTAATACAGACAAAAGTTTCATTAGTTACAAATATCATCTTTCCATGTAGGAATGTAAACAGTTCAACCTTAGTAAGTCCCTTATGATTTCTCTTTCCTGTTTACTTCTTCATGTTTCTCTTGAGTCTTGTATTTGAAAGTCAAATTTTCTAAAGCTCTGGTCTTTTCATCAAGAATGCTTGAAAGTCCTCTATTTCACTGAATGTCAATTTTTTCCCCTGAAGGATTATATTCAGTTTTGCTGGGTAGGTGATTCTTGGCTGTAATCCTATCTCCTTTGCCCTCCAGAATATCATATTCTAAGGCCTGCAGTACCTTAGTGTAGAAGCTACTAAATCCTGCATTATCCTGATTGAGTTTCCACAATATTTGAATTGTTACTTTTTGGCTATTTGCAGTATTTTCTTCTTGACCTGGGAACTCTGGAATTTGGCTACAACATTCCTAGGAGTTTTCCTTTGGGGATCTCTTTCAGGAGGTGATAGGTGGATTCTTTCAATTTCTATTTTACCATCTGGTTCTAGAATATCAGGGCAGTTTTCCTTGATAATTTGTTGAAAGATGATGTCTAGGCTCTTTTTTTGATCATGGCTTTCAGATCGTCCAGTAATTTTTAAATTATCTCTCCTGGATTTATTTTCCAGGTCAGTTGTTTTTCCAATGAGATATTTCACATTGTTTTCTATTTTTTCATTCTTTTAGTTTTGTTTTGCAATGTCTTGATTTCTCAGAAAGTCACTAACTTCTAATTGCTTCATCCTAATTTTTAAGGAAATATTTTCTTCAGTGAGCTTTTGAATTTCCTTTTCCATTTGGCCAATTCTGCTTTTTAAGGCATTCTTCTCATTGGTTTTTTGGACCTCTTTGCAATTTGGGTTAGGCTATTTTTTAAGGTGTTATTTTCTTCAGTATTTTTTTTGGGTCTCCTTTAGCAAGCTGTTGACTTGTTTTTCATGATTTTCTCGCATCACTCTCATTTCTCTTCCCAGTTTTTTTGTACATCTCTTACTTTCTTTTCAAGATCCTTTCTGAGCTCTTCCATGGCCTAAAACTGATTCATATTTTTCTTGGAGGCTTTGGATGTAGGAGCTTTAAGTGTGTTGTCTTCTTCTGGTTGTATGTTTTGATCTTTGTCACCAAAGAAAGATTCCATGGTCTGACTTATTTTGTGCAGTTTGTTAATGATCCTAGCCAATTACTTGAGTTTTAAACTCTTTGTTAAGGTAGGGGTCTGCTGCTCTAGATTTGTTTACAGGTATTTGGAGGGGTTTGGGGGAGAGCTCAAACAAGTCACTGCTTTTACTCCGTCATCTTGGCTTTTCCCCCAATAAAATATTTTTTAAACAACGTGAACAAAAAGATAAGCTGGAGTGGAGTCATACTCTGGAGGGAATGCCAAGGAAGATGGTGGTGCCATTTACAAAAACAGGAGTGTAAACAGGAAGAACAAGTCTGGGTTTTGGGTTTCTTTTGGGGCATGGGGTGGGTTGGGAGAGAAGAGGGGAGATGGTGACTTCAGATAGCCTCCATTTCTTGAGGAATCATAATTCATCTCTGCCACCCCCATATTCATCTTCTGAGTTGCCATAGACCTTACCCTAATTCTTGCTCTGATTCCCTTAAAACCACAACTATCAGTCTTGAACTAGCCCTTGGCCTACCCACTAAGCCTTTGACCTCTATCCCTATCCCCTAATCCTCAAACCCCTTAATCTTGTCCTTACTCCCTGAAATTTATTTCTCAACTGCTCACTCCTACATGTCCCGTAAGCTCCAAATCGAAGCCTCCAAATAACGCTCTACATCTCTACCCTGAATTACACAGCTCTCTGACTTCTGTCATTCCCTGAGCCCACCCTTCCCATTGCAAGTAATGCCCTGCCCCCAAAAAATCCTATATGACTTTCTGGCATCTCTACCTTTGGGTAGAAAGCTCCAGCCTGTGCCTTGACCCTCTTGTTTCCACTGACATCCTTGCTTTCCATCCCCATCTTCATCTCTGTCTCATCTCAAGCAGCTAAATTCTCATTTTGTACTTCTAACCCCCAAATTGCCAGTTCCCCTGAACTCATTCCTACCTGTACTTCCAGTAATTTGAAAGTCTCCTTTACTTCCCTCATTCTGCAATATCATGATACTACTACCATATCTTAATGCTGTGGAATTAGCACTCGCAATGTCATTCTTTGGTGAGGCTGATATCTCTGGAGTTACATCCATAGCGTTAATCCTAACTAACCTGAGCAACTGCCATAGAACACCCAGACTTGCTAACCCCCACCTGCCAGGACAGAATTCTTGGTTCAGAGATCTAAGAGACAGAAGGGCCTAGAAAGACTTGGGGATTAAGAAGAGAAGGAGAGAAATGGAGACTTCCATAGCAGCTCCTTAGAGAAAAATCCAGGGAGGCTTCACAGAGAAGTCCTCAACTCCAAAAAGAGTAGTGGCCGTGAGGTGTCATGGGAGGGGAGTGGGACTAATTCAGATTCAAGTAATAGCTCTGTGCTTTGGACCAAGCCAATCATCCATCCCTTCAGTATACCAACACTCAGACTATTACAGTGGGTCTGACTCCTCCATGCTTGGCTGGGTTCCAGGGAGAAGAGAGAGAGACAAGGCTATGAGAGTAGAAGCCTTGGACCCTCTCCATCTTAGACTGACATGTGGCCCAGGAATATATTCCTTGTTTTTTTGCATCCACATTGGTTTTTCTATTTTAGATGAAGGAGATTGGCAATGACTATGACCTGATGATATTCAAGAGATTGAATGACCTGAGGTCTGGGAGTCGAGTCAATGACAGGTTTTGCAGGCCATCTGAGTCAAGGAATGACTTTTGGATGTGTTCTGTTTGTAGTTGAAACATGCACTCTTCTAATAGCTATGATGAATTTGAATAATACTGGATTTAGATAATGCTGAACTTGGTGGAACCCATGCTATATGGAAACTGTTTTTAGTCTAAGACCACTGTCCCTGGGAACTGTGGTGGTATAGGAGAGAGTGTATCTGCCCAGAGTTGGGGTTGGTGGTGGTGGAGATATTTGTACTTTCACTCTGTATATTTTCAAACTATCCCTTTGAAAAATCTAAAAACAAACAAAATGATATACAAACAAACTACTATATACTAGGTGCTGTGCCAAGTATGGGGATACACAAAAAGGAAAGTGTGCCTCTCCTTAGGAATATTACAATTTATTAGATACAGACAAGTACATTAATATATTCATTTATAGACTGGACAAACCACTAATAGTAGGAAGTAGGAAGATCAGAAAAGCTTCTGATAGGATCCATATGCTGGATTGAGCCTTGAAGGAAGATAGGGATTCATAGAGAGAAAGAGAGAGAGAGAGAGAGAGAGAGAGAGAGAGAGAGAGAGAGAGAGAGAGAGAGAGAGAGAGAGAGAGAAGTGAGGGAAAAAGGAAAGAAGGAAGGGAAATAAAGAAGGAAGGAAGGAAGGAAGGAAGGAAGAAGGAAGGAAGGAAGGAAGGAAGGAAGGAAGGAAGGAAAGATGTCCCAGGCGTAGAGGACCTCCTGAGCCAAGGCATGAATATGGAAAGTAGAATGTGGAGTTGAGGGAATAGCAGGTAGATGAATTGGGCTAGAATGTAGGGAAAGTGGAAGGATATCAGATACAGCTGGAAGGGTAGATGAGAGACAAGATGGTGGAGGGCTGTCATTGGCCAGTTGAGGATGTTGTTTTTCTAGAGGAAATAGAGGGTCACTAAGGATCTTAAGCAGGGTTTGACATAGTCAGACTTGGCCCCTCCCACCTCTTTGACTGCTGTCCCCTTTATTATTATCCATGGTTATCTGAGATCTCAGCTCTGGGATCCCTGACCTCTTCTTTCTCTTTGGTTCATGGTTTGAACTCTATCACCTTCATCTTTGCAGTGTAGTAGGTCTAGCCCTCAATTTCAGGCTTACCAAAGGCAAAAGGTAGATCACTTTTTTGGGGGCTAGAGTCTTTCTGAAGACAGACAGCTAGGTGGTAGAGAGATAAGGTTATTAGACTTGTAGTCCATAATAAGCTAATAAGTCAGAAACTTATTGTCCTTGGGCAAATCACTTACTCACCCTGGTCCTCCATTTCTGCACCTGTAAAATGAGTGTTGGAAAAGGAGACCTATGCAGTTCTTCTACCTTTGTGCAGTCTCTAGTATATGCCTTTTCTTTCTTCTAACACTACCACCACCCTTGTGAAGGACCTCATCATCTCGTTCCTGGACTATTGTGATAGACTGCTAATTTGCCTCCCTGTCTTGAGTCCACGCCATCTTCTGCTCTGGCTAAATGGATCTTCTTCAAGTGCAGGTCTACCCCCGTCACCCCTCTTCCTCATTGTTGTTCTTTGTACAAGAGACTTTATTTCTTGACTCTGGACATTCTCATCAGCTGTCCCACATGCCTGGATTTCTCTCCCATCTCCTGGTCTTCCTGGCTTTCTTCATGTCCCAGGTAAGACCCCAACTTCTACAAGAAGACTAATGAAATTGACTTCCTTCTGTTTATTATCTCTATTTTTTGGTGGAAATATCTGGTTTGTATGTGCTTGACTTGGTATCAAACTGGAATCTCCTTGAGATCAGAGATTTCTTTTGGCCCATGTCTCCTCCTTGTTCCCCTTTATTTTTTGCATTCCCAGGGCTTCGCATAGTGCATGGCACATGATAGGTGTTTAATAAATGCTTATTGGCTAATATCTCTTCCACCTGTAGATTTGAGGATACTTTAGAATAGGGATATGGCCTGGATCTCTGATTTTACTGGTATAGAAAGCTCCCCTGTAAGGAAATTCCCTCCGCCAATGTAGGCTGGCACCTTCTCCACACCTAATGGCCTTAAGGTGGGGCCTGGAGCACTAAGAGTTTGCAGCTTGCCCAGGGTCACAGTCAGGTCCTAATGTAGGCACGTTTGCTGCCTGGGCATGACTGGCTCCATTTTATTTTAAGCCTCCATTTTTGAAGGAGTAGTTGCTATGTAGTTTTCCCCCCTGTAATAAGATAAGGACCTTTTCTTTTTTTTAAATAAGTTCAGTGGACAGAGAGATCACTGTGAGGTGGGTTGGCCAGACAAGGTTTCATAGAGAAGGTCAGATCTGAGTGAGACTGGAAGGATAAGTGAGGTTTGGATGTCACTGGTTGAGTCATTTCAGTTATGTCTGACTCGGCATGACCCCATTTGGGATTTTCTTGGCAGAGATCCTGGAGTGATTTGCCATTTCTTTCTCCAGTTCATTTGACAGACGAGGAAATTAAGGCTAACATGGTTAAGTGACTTCCCCAGGGTCACACAGCTAATAAGTGTCTGAGGCCAGATTTGAACTTAGGTTTTTCTGACTCCAGGCCCAGTACTCTACCCCCTGTGCCACCTAATGCCCTAAGAGTGGTACTTGAATGGTATAATTTGTCAATGACTTGCATTTTCCCAAATAGCTACTGAGTCCCTCAAATGTGGTAAACAACTGACAAATATTTACTATTGATGTGAGCTTTGACTGATAATTTCTTTTAATCATAATGCTTGAGTAACCAACCACCAACCAAAACTTGGGCGTAACTAGACCTCCCATCAGCAGCCTCACCTAGGGACAGGTCTGAGGCTGACTCCTGCGTTCTCAGCGCTTGAGGCTCAAATATCCCGCATGTTTAGGGCAGCGCTGATTGGCTGATGGAGATCTACCAACGTGGAAGGCAGACCTCTTTGAGAGCGATACCTGTTCTGCAGCTGTTCAGAAAGGGGGCTTGTCATTGATTACAGGTAAGACACATGTTTACCAGGATACCCAGGAAATCAGGCTGGTGGTTTGTTCCTAGTGGGGCTAATGTATGTGTTGTCTAATGGGTTATATAAATGAATACTTATATGCATTTGATAGATAAAGTCTGATTGCTGCAATTGAGAAGGGTAAATCGAATGAGTGTTTCTCTAGTACTAGTTAGCCTAAGTGTCAATAAATTGGTTTTGCATGTGCACTGTGCATTACAAGAGTAAGGTCAAAATTCTCTCCATGAATTAGCTGTTACCTTATACACACAGCAAAATGACTGATGCTCGGAAAGAAATGTGTGTTATATATAGGAAGACCAAAAATCAAGGTCTTATAAAGTCATTCACTTCCCAGCCAATCACATGTATATTGATATGTATATATTATATGTGTACATGTATATGGTTATGTGTATATATATATATATATACATACATACACACACACACACACACACACACACATATATATATATGTGTATATATATGTATATATATATATATCAGGCAGCTAGGTGGTGCAGTGAATAGAGTTCTGGGCCTGGAGACAGGAAAACCTGCATTCAAATCTGGCCTCACTTCCTAGCTAAGTGACCCTGGGCAAGTCACTTCACCCTGTTTGCCTCAGTTTCCTCATCTGTAAAATGAGCTGGAGAAGGAAATGGCAAACCACGCCAGCATCTCTGCCAAGAAAACCCCAAATGGTATTATAAAGAGTCAGACATGACTAAAATAACTGAATAATAACAACTATATATATATGTATATATGTATGTATATATATATATATGCCAGTATATTTGCATGCACACACATCCTCATAGCACATACTATATAGGTACAGATTACATGTATACACATATGTGCACAAACATGTTTACATGCATGCGTATTCATTGAGTTATTTTTCAGTGGTATCTAATTCTCCATGACCCATTTGGGGTCATATATATATTGGGCACATATGCACATATGGATACACGTAAACATATATGCTTATGTGCATTGTATAAACGGTTATACACATAGGTTAGTATATGTCTTTCTCTTTATATATATACACAATGCACATTTATATACACATGTGCACATTTATATTTTAACATATGTGTTTGTATGCACAGGTATGTTTAGGAGTATTTACATAAATATACACATGCATGTCTATGGATATGCATTTATATAGTCACATGTGTATATACAGGTGACGTGTATGTATATGCATACACACATATATACACATGCATACACACACACACACACATAAATGTTGGTCGATAAACATTTGCCAAGCACCTATCATATGCCAGGCATTGTACGAAGCACTGGGGATACAAAGAAAGGTAAAAGTTCCTGCCCTCAAGGAACTCACAATCTAATGGGGGAGACAGGCTTCAAAAAAAAGGTACAAGCATATTGTATGGAGGATAAATTCTAAATAATCAATAGAGGAAAGATTGACTGTGGATTA